TATATTTTAAGCTGCTAAAATGTGAAAGTATTTGTTATGCAGCAGTGGATAGCTAACACACTTAGTATCTGCCTATTTAGTGCTAGGCCCTGTGCTGCACATGTATCCATTCAGATTACATTTATTGTCACCATGCCAGGTGCTGTGCCAGGCATATGGTTTACAGTGGTGAATCAGGCCGACATTGTCCCCACTCTCAAAGACCTCATGATTGAGCTGGAGAGACAGACTTGGAAAAGGACAGTGTGAGCAGTTCTGTGGGAGGTATTGGTCCCTGCCTGGGGGGTCAGCAGAGGTTTCCTAAAAGAGAGGATGTCTGAGATAAATTTGAGGCTGAAGACAGTCTTCCAGGCAAAGGCAGAGCAGAAAGGGACCCAGGAGGAGACTGAGAAAGGGACAAGGTGAGCTGTAAGGAGGCCTGTGCCATAGGGGGCCAAGGGGAAGTAGATTGTGGCAAAAGCCTGGTTCGGAAGGAGTAACATGACAGGGAAAGGACAGTGAGGTAGATCAGGAGGGCTGCAAATGCCCACCACAGAGCCTCAGATTTATCTACCAGGCAGCAGGAGTCACTGAGGGGGCGGCGGAGGTGAAAGCAGCTGAGGACCACGGGAGCAAGATGGAGCATCACGATTCCGGTAGCAGGAAGAGGCAGAAGTGTCCAGCAGGATCCAGGGCCCACCTCAGGACACTGGTGCAGGCAGGAGATGAGGAGTCTGTGCTGGCAGAGGAAGGGTTGAGAGGAGTGGAGAGACCTTAGGGACATGAGGGTGGAGTGGACGAAATTCGGGGTCTGAGTGGGTGAGGATAGGGTGGGAGGATTTGGGGTCTGCATGAATGAGGATGGGGTGGGGGGAATCTGGGGTCTGAATGGATGAGGATGGGGTGGAGGGAAGCGCCCAGCAGCACCCATGGGGAGGAATGCTGCCCAAGCTCCTGGCCAGGTGCCCTGCTGTGCCTTTACTTAGGTGGGTGTGTGCAGGCACAAGAACGGGTACTTGGCGGGTGGCAGAAGGTGAGAGGGATGTTTGGCAGGTTGGGCTTGCGGCGTCGTCAGAAGAGAGACCGAGGCAGGCAACCCTGCTGGGAAGCGGGTCCACCCCCAGCCCGGGGGAGGAAAGCCACTGGCCTGGCCTGGGCTGGGAGCAGATGCCCGTCGCTAAGGTATTCTGGAGGGCGACGGGCAGCTTTGCAGACGGAAGGGGACACCGCGATCACAGCCCT